AACGATAATTCACATTTCATTCCAAAAGTCTATAAATTAGAGCAGAACGAGAGCAAAGAATCGAGTGCAACCGAAAGCCAATTTCATTTTCGATAGCCAAAAATAAATGCCACGCATACAAATTGGAAACTTTAAAAGCAACAGCAACGGAAGCAACAACAATAATAACAACTATTCATACTCGTAGATGGTCTGACATGGCAGTTATTCAGAAATGCATTTAGAATTGTAAGCGAATAAGCCATAATAACAGCAACAACAAAACATGCGCCAATGTGTTTAAAAGCACAATTTAATTAACTTTTCAAAAGGGAATAAACAGCATCAAACGGTTGGGCACATAATTTAATAGGAATTAGATATATGTATATGTGTGAGTTAAAGCAAATAGAAAATGAAGAATAATTGATAACTTAATAATCATTCGTTGATGGATAATTTAATATCTACAATCATTTTTTTGTTTGTATTAATGTATTATTGTTTTGTTATTATTTATTTAAAATCGGTCCTAAATTGGACAATTATTAAACTTTTTAAATTAAACCTTAAATATATCTTATCTGTACCACGTACACGGAATTGCATTTTAAAAATCGCTGAGGCATCACGATATGCAGTGAAATATTTGAAAACATTACCACTTTCGCTAAGATATTGCCTTTACTTTGAAATCGAATTATATAGATTTATTCTTGAATTAAGCTTGTATTCTAAATAAATTAATATAAACTTGAAAAGTTTGAAAGGGCAGGTCAGGAAGGTATCTGGAGCCCCGTCTTATAAAATCGTTCACTACAAATAAATAGAGCACAGATTCATTCTAAATAGCTGGCACAATGTTTAGTAATGTTATTATGGGTTACTTTTAGTAAGTAAATATATTTGTAGCCCCTTGTAATAAATATAAAAACTTATGTAGTATTGCACGGCTCATTATTTGCGTTTCGGTAAATTTGCAATGTTATGCACCCCTTATAGTTATTCTTAATTTAAATATTTAATAATGTGTTTATTCACACAAAAATTATTACTTGTAAAAATTTTATAAATTAGCTCCAAGATCATGATAATATTTTGCGTAAATGATTCGATTTTTGAATCCAGGGGCCGCAATCTTATAGCACTCGTACAGTAATAGACTAACTAGGAAGCCAACAATAATTGGCATATAAAGCAAAAAAGAAAGAAGGCGTGAAATTTATTTTGGATATTATTATTGTAATGATTTTTTGTTCGTTTTTAGATTTTTTTGTTATTCTTTATTAGGCCAGAGGTTCTCTGTAACAGATATTTGATTTTTTGGTAGAAAATAAATTGATTTTCAGGAGCTACGATCCGTGATAGGTCAACATACCGTAAAACATTGCTTTCGTATGTCGATACCTACTAATTCGAAGGCTTGGCCTTGGGACTACCGGAAATTTAAGCCAAATAAATGATCAAATGGGATCATCGGTATCCTCGTTATATGAGCTAGTTGACCAGTTACTGGGCCGTTGATAATAGTTGCTACACTTAAATTGTCCTGCAATTCCCTAATGGGGAATCTCGTCCCATTGCACATGCTTGGAAGGCTTTAATTTCTCAAAGCATGATTGCAATTCCGAATTTTACCGTCAATTCATATAGCGGCTGTCCAGAATGGTTTAGTTAATTCTTGTTTAGTTAAAATGTCTTCAATATTAATCACGGTGTCGATCGATGTGTAATTTTTTCTTTGGCTGGGGGCTTCTGAATAATATTGCCTTAATATTTAAAGGATGATTATGAACTAACAGCATGCTATTCAGGAGTTTTTTAAGGTAATTTTTTTACACCTTTGGTTACATTATTGGCGTTTTAGTAAGGATTCCATTCTTTTTTACAATTATAATATAGCCCATGTTCACCGTCGATAGTGTAGCTTCCCAAAAGTGAAGGAATCCATTAAATCGGTCCAGTAGATTCGGAGCCTTTTCAATTCAAACAAACAAACATACAAACATACATCATTATAATAAGTATTAGTATAGATAAGATCGATTAAATTATTCAATATAAACATGGTCGTCTGTCGGTTCACCTTACCGCCTATCCATCCGTAAGAACCTCGGAACATCTGTACTCTTTAAGCTTTTTAAATAGACTTACGTACTGCGTATGTACGTGTTTATTAAAAATCATACACTATAGCAATATTTTATTAGGTCGGATAAAAAATAACTTTTTGGATTGTAGCAGGAATTCATCTTAGTATTAAAAATGATTATGTTTATTTAGATACCGTAGCCGAAATTAGTAGTTCGTATTATTTTACCATAAAAAATGATTGGTGCCACAAAGTTTATTGTTGTTAAATTCTTTTAGAGTATTCAAGAGTCGGATTGGCACGACTTTAACACTCTACATGTTAACTAATATAGTATGCTCTTTTTTATACCATTTATACATTTATAACTACTACTACTTGTACTACAGACCTAATCACATAGAGAGTGGCGGCTTTTGGTGCAAACGCAGAGAAAGACAGAGACGCTGATTTTCCAGGATTATGCCTGTCGGGCACAAATGCTGCTCCTTTTCTATACATATTTATAATGAACTTCATTTACTTTGTGCGGCAGTGGTTGTAAGATGTAACAAAAGCAACAACAAAAACAGCAAGCAACAGCAAAAGCAGTAAAAACAATAACAAAGGTGCCCAAGAAATACAAGCGTTTTAGTTTTATGTTCCGTTTGTGTTTACTTGTTGTTGTTTTCCTTTTTTCCGGGCAGCATAAAAATGAGTGCAAGGACTGACGACGCTCTCGTCCTTGTCTTCATTTTGGAAGCTATTGTTGTTTTTGCTGCTGCTGCTGCTATTGTTGTTGTTGCTTGTAAGATTAATATTCTGCCTTTTTCTACTACTTATGCTGCCTTTCAAGCTTGCCGCGTCTTAAGAGGCATGCTTTGGTTTCTTGCTGCTTGGACTCAGAACATGTCGGCGTCTATATGTATGTGTTTGTGTGTGTGCATGTTTGTTTAATGACTCTGCTATTGTTCATGTGTGTGCGTGTGTCTGTACGTCTGTATGTGTGTGTGTGTGTGTTTGTGTATGGATGCGTTGAAAACTTAAGTCATGAAGTAAGGCAGCAAAATGTTTAACGAAAATATATACAACTACTTTAAAAGGGGATTTATTGTTCTGCTTACACGCCTGTTTGTAAATGTATGCGTATGCATGTGTGCAAGTGTGCATGTGTAAGTGTGAGTCTGTTTTTTCTGTGACTCGTGTGTGCAGTGAAATGCAATGAAGCCGAAACGGAGCACTCAGCTTGAGTTGCCAGCATGCAAAAGTCTTAACGGGGCTCGTTGTCAGGCCAACGCGTCTGTGTGTTTGTGTCTAAGGATGTGTGTTGCTTCTGTCTCCGTGTCAAGTGGAAATGAGCAGCCACCAGAGCAGCAGATGAGTAGACAAAGAGACGGAGAGATGGAGAGACAACAGGCAACAGACAAGCAGTTCATGTTGGGCTCTTGGGCCGAAGTTGACTCGCTTATGCTTTTCTCTGAACTTGCAATTAATTATAATGAAGTTTGCTGTTACTTCTTCTTTTGTGTGTTGCTGCAGATATTTAGCTTGCAGTGTTCTTATTGCATTCTTGTCCTTATAAACTCGGCTCTTTTGTTGTTATTGTCTCTTATGTTGTCGCTCAGACCCACTCGTTTCTCGATAAATGTGTCAAATGTGAATGAAACTGTGTGTTGAACTTGTTTGGCATTGCCGCTTAATGAAAAGGACTCTGATATGTCTGGCTTGAACGAATTGAATTCTAACAGCAGGATGAAAGACATAAGTGATATCGAACATATTTTTATACCCTGTACCCGTAGGGTAAAATGGGAAGGAAGGAAGGAAGCATCTCCGACCCCATAAAGTATATATATTCTGAATCAGCATGACGAGAGAAATCGATCTAGACATGTCCGTCCGTCCGTCCGTCCGTCCGTCCGTCCGTCTGTCCTTCCGTGTGTCCGTCTGGATGAACGCAAGGATCTCAGAAAATATAAAAGCTAGAAAAACCAAAGTTGGTATCCAGATTCTCCTAGGTTCGAGAAAGGACGAGTTTATTTTATTTTTTTTTAATTCCCCCCCTTCCCCCGCTACAGAATTTCGTCAATAGCGTCCACATTTCAAAAGCTATCCTAACCAAACTTTGCAAACATAATTTCTATATAATTATCTAGTTTTCATCTTAATCGGTTGGTTCCAAGTAAAGTTATTAGCGAAACAATTTTACTTCGGTAATACGCCCACAAGCTGCAGCATCAATTTCGCTCTTCTTCTTCCTTTTGCTCCTGCTAGAGGCGCATATACCTCAGTGCCGGAAGTTTACCTGGGTACAGGGTATTTCACTGTCGGGCTTGCCCGACTGTAGCGTTCTCTCTTGTTTTCTTTGCTGATTTTTGAGATTAGGAGTAGATTATTGGCACAAATTGAAATATGAGGAGTTAGTTGTTCCCCATTTAGGGTGCTTTTTATATCCAGTCGAGCAAACCGGACAGTATATCTTGCTTGTTTGACTTCCTTGACATTCTCCCTTGTCGTCGAGTAAATAATAAATAATTTTTATATAATTAATTAATACTGTTAATAGAATTTAATAAAGTAAATAATGTTGTTTTCCACACAAATAAGTCAATTCAAACTGTTGATTTGTATATTTAATCCGTCTGCGATTTTAACAAATTGAGTTGATGCCCCGAAGAAAGTTGCAAGCAAAAAAATAAATGTCTAAAAATTAGCATTAAAACATTCCACACCCCAAAAATTTTTATGTCTCTTTTGGCTTTTTGTATGCCCTGTACTTCAAGGGGAAAAAGGGTACAAGGTTCTTTTCTTTCAAACTATCTTCAAAAGATGTCACCCGTCATCTGTCCTTAATTTTTCATCACTTCTATGGGAACTCCAACTCCCCATTTATTTTATACGCTATGGAATTCGAGTTAAAGAGTTCCGTAAAGAAATGTTACAGACAATCTGAAGTAAATATATTCAACTGTATTTATCATTCGCAATTTTAAGAAATGTGTAGACTCCCTCTACATGAAACGTTATTTCAGCGACAATGCGCCTTTCCTGACCATTACAGTTTTGCAAGTTCCTGCAGGCATATTGTGCACAGCTGTCGGGCTTATTCGCATGCACCTCGTGGGCTCAGCGAGTGCCGCTAAGCCGCTTAGGTGCCCACGATAGGAGGGTCCTGTCGTTCATTTTTAATGCATGACACGCAGGCCTAACGATATCGTCGACATGGGGCACCTTTGTGGCACACGTGCGCATCAGACCCGTCCATAAAATCTGGCGCGACATAATGTCGCTGGTAGGTGCCGGTGCGATGGCCACCTCAAAGGATTGACTGCGTGGTTCTCCATCTGCATTCAGCTGCAGTTGGAGCTTCACATTCGGATCGATGCGTTGCATGGCCCGCGAGAGGGTTTGCTTTCTAGAGCGACAGTGCTCTATATAGAGAACTGGTTGGTTTGGGTCTAGCTGCTGTTTGGGTTTGTTTTTGTGACCAAAGAGCTGAAACATTTCTCAATCAATTTTTGTAGAATAATTTTAGAAGCTTATCCAAATTTTAAAGACCGACAGCTTGGGTTACGGCGCCTACTTTTCTTGCTTATCTGAGCTTTTACGAGCTCTGGCGTTCTTTAAGGAGACAGCGACGGTCACTTGGGGACGATGAGCATAGCGTTGATGACCCCCAGTGACCCCAGCCGTCGCACCTTCATAAATCAAACAAAATTATCTGACAAATAAATCTTGGTAGACAATGAGCAACAAATACATAAACACACAAATAAACACAAATGTGAATACGAATACAAACACAAATGCAAATTCGCATAAAATATGCACAAGGCAAGACCGAAATAGAATAGAAAATATTTAAATAAATTTTTCGTTCGTGCTCGGCACCAAAATGGAAAATGCAAGCTGTCCACTTTTTCTGACATTCGTCCTGCGGGCTCCCTCTCATTTCATTTGGCAACATTTTCCTTTTTTGTTCGAGCTGTCTTTAAGTTAAAAATTGCTAAATTTGCTGCTAACGCGCAATGCCAAAGAATGGAAAAATGTGCATGGAAAATAAACAGATTGGGAGAAGAAAAACCCATTTTAATAAACTGAACCAAAAGTTCTAGTAGATTATGGCGCAGATAGAGAGTAGGGGAGTGAGTGAAGGGAAAGAACAAGGCAGCCAGCCAGCGGCAAGGTTGTCAGCCATTCACAATTATTGACGGCAAAGCAATGCAGCTGAAAGAAATGAAAGTAAAGTTGTGATAATGGGGCAATGGGGCTTTTTTCTAACGGGTTCAAAGCAGAAGCAAATCTATTTAACAAGCTAAATGAAGGAAAGACGCTCGAGGCTGAGGCCTTGTAGCCAACACAGATGTCTAACGAAATTTTTCAAGAATAAATTTAATTTTAAAGTCTATCAGCCCGTAGTACATTTAGTGGCGATAGCACCATCCTAGCCGACAGCGATCCGACAAATGTACTGTATATGTCAATAGGAACGAATTGAAATGCATTTAATGAATATCTGTTATTGACTCCGTTAAGAAACTCCCTTAAAGGCAGTTGGTGCACTTCCACATAAGGGATTGGAGCCGCATACATTTTTTTATATGTAGTGCAACGACCTCTAGTTATGCCTCAACGCTACTAGCCATAATAAGAATGAAGTTATTTCAACCCAAATACAATTCCAGCATCTCGAATTTACACGTATGTAACACACAAAAGGAGGCGTGGTAGACCCCCGAGTATTTACATCATTGTTCAGTATGAAGAGACAAGTCAAAGTAGCCATGTCGGTCTGAATAAATATTAATCATTGATTTAAATTAAATAATTGGCTTTAAACATTTAGCAGCAGCTAAATTGATTTAGTATTTATTGCAATTAATTAGAAACAAAAACTAGGCTTATGCCTGATTTAAACTCTTTTTTTAATACGTAACTCGAGTGCTTTTAATTCAGTAATTAGAGGCAATTCAAAAAGTCGAACTTGACGAACGCATTTTATTTCAATTATTTACAGCTTGTTAAAATGCTTGTTCATTAATCGATTCAACAAAAATCAGTTTAATGAATAATTTAAAAACAACGTTAACAAAACTCCTAAGCTCATTTAGTTTATTCACAATTTGCAACTTCAATTGCTGAATAGTTACATTCATATGTAACTAACTATGTAACTAACTACTTTGAATGCCCAGGTATTTATGTACAGTATGTACAGTATACTCGGATAGCCCAACGGCTATTAAATGCTGTTCATCAAACTGGACTCCAGTGCTGAAGTGTCGCATATGTCTTCACGAGATGGCACAACAGTTCTCTGTTTACCTCATTTGGGTCCCATGTCACAGGGACATAGAGACTATTAGTTCGGAGCCGCTTTGAGCTTACCTCAAACGACAAACGAGGCATGTCTGTAGCAGGATACGTGCAATGGAGCTCTGCAAGCTAAGCAGAAGCCACTGCTGGGCTGTGGTCAGACGGCCATGCTGCAGACTACGGCTTTTATGCAACGAACTCTGTCGGAGCTGCTTTAATGAGGAAGAGCAGCGAACGGTGAGCCATCTCTTCTATATCACCTGTATGTAGAAGCTACATTCCTTCCGAATCAATCGGCACTATTTAAAAAGAAGTCAAAGAATATATCCAGGCTACTGGGTGGATCTAAAACATTCCTCGAAACGCAGAACTACCAGTGGCAGACAGGAACCGGAACAGCCCATGTTCACATGTGCATAGCACAATTACTACAAACTGTGGCCTGATTGAGTCAGCGATGTATCCCTGACTACCGCGCCTACCTACCTATCTAATGCCCACGGCTTAATTGTCCAGTTCGTTATCCTTCAGTTTTAGCTGCGCTTTTTAGTGCCCTGGATTATAAAATCCATTTTGTTTGCTGGTGATTGGAAGCTAGAGCATTGGTTGAAAATCAAGCGCAGCGCCATCGTAAATAAATTTGTGGCCATTATTTCACTCCTCCGCTGGCCTGGCGTTATTAAATGTATCCAAGAGCCCGATGGATATAAAACATTCGCCATGTGAATGGCTGAATTCCTATCAGTTCTATTACAAGACATGGCGCGGGTAAAAATATTTTTAAAAAAAATTTCAATTGATTATTCAGGGGACTTGAATTTAATTGGCCATTAATACTTGCCGTATTAGACTAAGCGGTATACTTTTCAGCTTATTTGCAAAAGTTTCGTCAATGTAAAATAAAAGGAAGAGAATTCTAAATTTTAAATATTTTTTTGATTGCAATTTCAATCGGTGCGAGTGAAATTCATCTTTAAAAAATGAACAATATTCGTGCCTTCTGCATTTGAAGCCTAAAAAGTTGCGTTCAAAGTTTCGTCTTTCTTTCCAAGTATTAGCGTACATGGAATTTTTGATGTACGAGCAGGTTTTGTTGTTACCCCCTGGATAATTCTCCGCGGATGAGGCACATACTTTTACAAGCAGAAAAACGCAGGACGGTCTATTCTTATTGGTATATAAGCCGAACGAATTGACGTGGCAATACTTTTTTTTTTACAAATACGAGTATATTGAACTTGCCAAACAGAGGTGATCGTCAGGAACACAGCATCTATAATTGGAATTAAGAAACAAACATTAGGTCATGATTTTGTTAATGTCTTTCAAAACTTGCTTATAGATAATGATACGAAAAGCGAATTTGGACCTATGGCTCATAGCTATGCATGTTAAATCAATTTAAAATCCTGCGAATCATTGCTATAGCTTTCCTATTTCATTCGGCGAGAATGTATCCACAATGACCTTAAGTTTCGAAAAGAAAAAACCGAAACAGCTCAGATTAAATGCAAATATTACAACAATCTAACATTTATAATCTAAATGCTTATACTAAAGTACTGCAAGCTACGCATTGAAAACTTTGGAAATATAAGAATAGCCTACAACTTGATCTGAGGACTCTTTAAATAGTATGTTCCTGAAATCCCAAATATGTGACTTAGAACTTGAAATCTTATTGCCAGTCTCATAAAAAAACAGATTCAAAATATACAAAATTTGAAGGAAATAAAAAATCGATTTGCTCCTAAATATCATTTCGTCATTCATTCAGCTACTTTCTTAGACTGCTAGGACGAACATTTTTCTGTATAAATACGAGTAGCACGCTTTTGTGTTTGCCGTTGTTGTAGTTGGTGGTGGTGCTGCTGCTTTTCGTTTTAAATGAGTTTTCATTGATACTTTATGGTATTATTTATTTATTGTGCGGGATTTCCCTCGCGTACTAAGTAGGACAGTGAGTGCAGGGGGCAATGTACTGAGCTGTGGAAATTTCTTTTTCTTACTTTGACTTTTTTTTTATTATTTATTTCAATTATGAAAACTTTTTACGCACACAAAACCCCAAAATGCTCGAAATACTTGGCCTAAGATGAGCGAAAGAAAAAGGAAAATCGTAAATGGATTTTCGCTGCACGGCAAAGCTGGTGGAAAATTCACTTTTGTCTTGCGGCGCTTCTATTTTTGTTGGTTCTCTCGTTGTTGTTATTGTTGTTGTCGTCTTTCTTTTATTTTATTTTATGTTATTTTTTAAACAAACATTTGCTGCTCAATTGTTTTCAGCTTCAGCGCCGCGCAAATTGATGAGTTTTAAATTGCTTGGCGTCACGTCTCAGACACGCCCCCGCCCTAGCAGCAGGTTCTGGCTTTGTTTTCATTGCTGCAATTTATTCATAATCAACGGCCCTTAGCCTAAGTGGTCTGTCCAGCCTTTTGTTTAATTTTATGATGTATTTTCCCTTCCCTTTAATAATGAGTACACATATTTTTGCGCGACCGTCTTATTCTTATTTTTCTAAAAATATTTTATTCTGCGCGCACAACAGGTGCATTTTTTTTTGCTACTAATTAAATAATTTCCTTCAGAATTCTCACAGTAGATTTTTTCTTACATTCTAGACAATTGCGGGTGCTATATATATATGTAGCTTTAATTATCAGTAGCTTCGTTTAAATGTGCTTATTTGATATATAGTATGATTAATTACATAATTATCTAATTATTATTATATATACTTGTACGCGTGTGAGTTTCTCTGTGGGCGTTAATGCGTCCTTAAAGTGCCGCGGCGGTCGTTCTTGGCTTTTGTTCAATATTTAAGCATATTTGCCAGTCCAAATGGAATGGTGTATAGAGAATTCGCAACCCAATTGATTTGCCATTTCCAAACAACATAAAAGGGTCAAACGTAAAGGGAATAATATAAGGCGGCCACAGCAGCAGTAGCAGCAGCAGCAGCAGCAGCAGCAACAGTAACTGGCAAGCAACAGTTTGGCCAGCAATAAGGGTGAAGTCAAAGAGCATTTGGAGCTGAATATATAATTGAGAATTCGAAACACGTGCGTTGATATCGAAAAACTATGTATATGGCATCGACTGGAATGCTACGAGCACCCAAAACATTTGCAGTACGTAAAAATGCTTGGCATACATTTAGTATACATACATACATACATACATACATACATATACTACTTATAGTATATAGGTATGTGCATGAAA